TTAATTGACATTTCATTTTTTATATACATAACTGGCAGTTCTTTAATTTTTGAGAAACTGATTTTTCAATCAAAATTTGTTCTCATCCCTATTTCAAAGTTTCTACATGGTGGGGTTCTGATTTTGGTGAATTCTGAAAAGGAAACCATATTTGATTCCCTAAGGCTTTTTCTGTTTTGGATAAGTTGTATTTTCTCATGAAGAATAATAAAACAATTAAAAGTGATGGCAGAGGAGGGAGAGAGTAGAAATGGTATGGGATCTGGGTAATGGATAATACAGGTGAACTGAAAATGAATTAATTGGTGAATTCCGATTTTCATTTGGTGCTTTGTTTCATTTCATTTCAAATGTTACTATTATTTTTTTCGCTAATTTTGTGGCTGCAATTGTACTCATGTAGATGCATACCATACAAATATAAAACTGGGGAGAAAAATTCCTAGATGTTTCGGATGAATTGGAAGTTCCGATTATTAGTTCTCAGAAAAGCAAAGGTATGCTATTTTCAAAGGTACACCCACAGATATTAGTCAATAATCAACATCCAAATCACACATGATCTCCATTTATTTTATTCCATTTTCTAATTTATAATTTTCTAATTGACCAAACATCAGGGAGGCTACATGAATTAGACGAATCCAAAAAGGAGTCAGATTGTTATCAAAAAAAAAAAAAAAAAAAAAAAGGAGTCAAATTTGCGAGAGACCATAGAAGAAGCAAGGGAGGCATATGTTTTTCAAATTAAAATGGGTTGCTGTCGGTCAGCGTTTCAACATGAGGATTAAATAGATGGAGAAATGGAGAAGAAGCATTTTATGCTTAACGATGTTTGTAAAAGATTTAACAAAAATGCTTAATTGTCAAAATTACACAATAAAAGGAGATTAATTGTAACAATTGAAAGTATAAGGTGATTTCGTGAAACATGATCTTAGTACAAGAGGGTAATGTACAATTTAGCCAAAAAAAATTATTATACCTCCCTACCTACGTGATGGGTATAATCATAGCGATTCCCCATAGAAAATGATGCCCTCATTATAAATATTAATGTTCTAAATACTAGATAAAGATCTTCTCCTTAAATCTTATATAAATTCTGACTATCAAAGTGTATTAAGGTAAACTCTCTTCTTGTTCCATTAAAGATTAGTAAAAGAATAACATCAAATCATCATCAAAGGAGCTTTGATAGTAACCTCATTGTCAGTTCACAGAATCACGGCCTGATGGGATGGAATGGTTTGAATCTCCTCATAATTAAATTCATTCAACTCAAAACTTGTTGTTTTCCCGTCAAAGTTTACAAGCCACACTTATTCTTCTAATTTATCGAATAATTGAGGCTCGCCTTATGGCCCTTTCGTTTACCCATGACAAAGGTATGACTTGGATTCAAATTCATGAATATCGCAAGTTCTGTCCACAGGGTTATGAAAGGAATACTAGAATAGCAATTAGTTGAAGGGTTTAATATTTTGTATTTTACTGAAGAAACTTTTTCTTTACCACATTCACATAAAATTAAATAAATTTTATTAAGTTTTTTTTCTTTTCTCTTTGTACTGGAACCCACTTACTATGTAAGTGTGACAAAGAAAAATTTCTGCTATAAAAGCAGAAATATTTTTCCCTTAATTTCATTAATGTGTTTTTGGTTGTCATGGAACAAAAACATAATCGGTTTGAGAAGTTCTATATTGCAACAATGATAGGCAACTCTGAAACACGGACTCATGAAATTTTGTGAATTGTGCATGCCGGACACGAGTCCGACACGGACACACTTTGATACGCGTTCGACACACGGTCAATATTTTGGGACACGTGATCAACTCTCCGACACGTTTTTCCATCACACAGTCAATTTTTTTCGACACGTGGTCAACGCTCGGACATATTTTTTTTTTAGTCTTAATTTTATTTTATTAACTAAAAATTAAAAAAATTATTTATAAATCAATTTTTTTCTATTATGAAATTTGACATGAAAAATTAACAAAGGTACGAAAAATTATTTTTGTTTATATTTTTGTTATGATATTCAATTTTTCGTTTATATTTTTGTTATGAAATTTGAATATTTGATTGGTTATATGACTTATTATGGAATGTTATATCTATTAAATATAAATTATATTATATATATTAAAAATATTATTTAATATCAAAACGTGTTCCAACATATCGAAATATGCCATTTTTTAGAATTAACGTGTCGGCGTGTCGTGTCGTATCATATCCCGTGTCAATGTTCGTGCATCGCAAAACCATTTATTTTATTTTCATTTATGTTAATTAATATATAGTGCAGAAAGGACAAAGCCTTTTAATTAATTAATTTGTTTATTTACTTTGCATTGTGAAGATATAATACTGTGCATCCTTATCAGTTAAAAAAACAACAATAATACTTACACATAATTTTTATTTTTATGTTACTTTTTTATATAATAAAATAAACAAACATACACTTACCGAAAATAAATAAATAAATAAATAATCAAACATACATTCCACTACATTTTTTCTCTACAATTTATTTTCCAAAATAAAAAGTGTAAAACAAATACAAAGGGATGCAAATTTCCTTGTGTATTAAGAAGATGCTCCGACTTTTAGCACTTGATCATATTGATAGAATAAGTTATTGGGTAAATCTTATCTATTCTTATAGGGTTTGTTTTTTTTACAGTCAATGTAGATAATTATTTGCAGTGAATTTAAAATGACGTCGTTTTGATATGGAAATCAAAGTATTTTTATAATTATAATTTATTTCAGGGTTATAATAGTCTTTTTCATTATCATTTTTTAATTTTCCAAGCCAAAGCGACATCATTTAGAAGCGAATGTAGATCACTTCACTGTAGAAACGTTAAAGCCATTCTTATATATTAAAAATGAGATTTCACTCTGCACTCTTACTTAAAAAATGACAGATATCATTATTAATTTCTTTTAAATTTTAAATTTTAAATTTAAATTCTTTTGAATTAATTATACGATCTTCTATGTAATTTTAAATATATTTTTTTAGTTTTTATATTTTACTGAATTATTTAATATTTCTTTTAATTTATGTTTCTTCATGCCAAAATCTGACTTGTTCAAGAGAAGGCAACTCTAGTGTCTCAAACAGTAAACCTGTGATCATAAGAAACAACTACATGTGTATGTAGGCCCATTAATTTGGTACACGAGTCCTTACATGGTTTCTGTTTCGCCTTTTCTTAAGAAACAACTAAACTTCTCAATATATATATATATATATATATGGGCTTATCATTTTTCAAGCTGTTTGAGATAACGTTATCTCTAGCCATTAAATCATAACCGTACAAAGATAGATCAATCAATGGTAATAAAGGAAGAGAGAGAAAAAGAAAATCATAATCATTCAAATGTGAATCAATTAATATAAGGAAATAAATAAACAAAACGACATAGTTTTGGAATTGCCAGAGATAAACTTGTCTCAAGCTACCGGAGAAATGTTTTTCCCTATATATATAGGGAAAAACATTTCACAAGCAGCTTGAGACAAGTTTATCTCTGGTTACCCAAAACTACGTCGTTTTATTTATTTATTTCCTTATATTAATTGATTCACCTTTGAATGGTTATGATTCCCTTTTTTTCTTTCTTCCTTTATCACCATTGATCCATATTTGTACAGTTATGATTTAGTAGCCGGAGATAAGATTATCTCAAACAACTTGAGAAATGATTATCTCGTATATATATATATATATATGTGTGTGTGTGTGTGTGTGTGTGTGTGTATATATATACACACAAACACACATACATAAGAAGGACTATATTTACAAACTTTTTGTTTAGAAACTCTTACAAATTACATTATGTGCTCTCGGAAGTACACTAGGTTACACAATGTACTTTCAGGAGTACACGGTGTAATTTGTAAACGAATCTTTCTCCATATATATATAAATACATATAGACACACACAAACACACATACATAAGAAGGATTATATTTACAAACTTTTTGTTTAGAAACTCTTACAAATTATATTATGTGCTCTCGGAAGTACACTAGGTTACACAATGTACTTTCAGGAGTACACAGTGTAATTTGTAAAAATTTGTAAACGAATCTTTCTCCATATATATATATATATATATATATGTATGGAATATGATCATTTGACATTAAATCCTAAATGATGATTTCGGCCAATTGACGATTATAATTTATTGAGAATTAATAATTAATTAATAAGTTTGACTCAATAAATTATAACCATGAAATTGACAGAAATTAACTATTAGAATTTGGTGTTAAAGGATATTGCCCATATATATATATATATATATATAATATATATATATATATATATATATAGGGTTCGTCGCTTCTCCTTTCGTTGCTGATGAGAAAAGTTGCAGCAAATTATTAAAACTAGGATATGGGGTCGTATCCTGACCTAAAAAAAAAACACATCAGGATTCGGACGCGTATCCTGATAAAAATAAGTGTTGCTGCACTTTTTCCCATCTGCAGTGACAGAAGAAGTATATAACCCATATATATATATATATATATATATATATATATATATATATATATATATATATATAATTCACTCATTTCAGCATGATTAGATTCAATTATGGATTTATGCTAAAAAATATCCAAATACAATCCAATGGCTCTTCACATTTGTTGTCAGTTTTTGTCTCCTTAAGTATAGTTGCTTCATCATTACCTTAAAATTTGCACAACTGTCAAGCTAGCAGAGAAATTTTCAAACTTCTCACTTTCTTAAATCACTTGAATCAAATTATTTTTTCTTTTTTCATTTGCTTAACTTCACATCCAGAACACAAATAAAAAAAATAAAATGAAAAGCATCTTTCAAGGCATGTCATATGAAGTTATCAGAATCATATATACACATTGATTCATCTATAACACACATTTCTAATTCCAAAATCAGTTGAAGAACTTTACTGAGATGGGGTGGTAGATTCACCTCTGCAGTGTAAGTGTTTCTTCTAAACAAGATTAAAAAAAAAAAAAAAAGTTTGTACTATGTCTTTTTCTGAATTTGATCATAAAAACTTGAACAATGTCTTGCCCAACCACATATTTATTTCCTATTTCCATTCCATTATCATTCAAGCAGAGGAGAATGAAGACAGAGGATGAGTGGTTGATGATAGTTTGGACTCTTGCTCTTATCTGCTTTCCTTTTATCTTTCAGTTTTGATCTTCAAATACCCTTTTGCAGCATTCTTAACTCATCTTTTCTGCAAAAAATGAAGTTATGTTAGTACCACAAAAATGTAAATAATGCTATCAATGGAATAACATATTAATTGTTATGCATGTTGAACTTGTACACATACCAATGGATCTTTTGCAATGGAGTACTGCTTCATAAATTGAGCTCTCGGAATCACAGGACTTGCGCCAGTCATCTGCAGAATAAGCTACACTAATTCGTGGGGATGTTTCAGAATAGTATCCTCTATTCTTTACTGACTTAGTTCTTCTAAAAACAGTTTCAGGATCTGAACCTGATTTGTGACCCCTCAATCTTCTACACAAGGGCCTTAAGAAATTCAGATACTTCTGAAATATTCTCCTTGATAATGTTCTGCACCTTTTTAAGGAAGGGCATCTAGAAGGCCCATTAGGAAAAACACTTTTTGGTACATGTGATGAAGAAGGTAGGTTTGGGTTAGCAGCATCTGAGGCCTCATATGCATCCATCTTCAATGATTCAACAAAAAGAGGCATAAGGTAACCATTGGAAAAGAGCTCATCTGCATCAACAAGACTAAGAGGTGACTGTGAAATTGGGAAGTCAAATTTGAAATCTTGAGAATTCTTGAAGAATCTTTTAGAGGGTGGCAGTCTTGGGTCCATCTCAATGAAAGAAGCTTCATCATAAGCATCAAGAGAGGTGCTGAGGGAGCTATCTAGGCTTTCTAGTGATGGCTTCAGGTTAACTAACCAACTATAAGAGAAGCTTTCAATAGAAAGAGGATGAGAAGTTTCCATGGCTTCAAGGAATTCTGGTAGTGATGACAATTTTGATGGTATAAGGGAATGGGATACAAGGTGGGCTAAAGCTAGCAAAGCCTCTTCTCTTATGCAGCATATTGTTTAACTTGTATATATATATATATATATACAAGTATGTATGTATATATACCTTAATATACCATCTCTCTCTAACAATTGGGTATATGGCTCTCTGGCCAGAGACAATGAAATTTAATAATTGGAATTGAGAAAAGAAGAAAAGAAACAAATGTGAGCTCCCACCAGACCCATAATGTCTTGTTGCATAAGTAGCTAACCTCACCCTTTCTTTTTAATCATTAGCTGCTTTAAATTTTTTACAAAGGAGTTGGTTTGTTTCTAGAACTTGGTCTAATTTATCATATCATATTCTATTTAATAAAAAGCAGAAAGAGGTTCATGCATATAATTAAGATGTGGTACATTTAAGAATTCAGAAGAATTAAGCAGAACCAGTTTTGTGCTTTAGAATGTTGCCTTTAAGCTTTTGTTCAGTAAATCAAAAGTAAGCAAAAGGAATCTTAGTAATTACACATGTTGAATAGGGAAAAGAATAATTGGTTAACGTCATCCAAATTTGTTCTGACATATGCCATTTTTTCTGAAAACAATACGGGCTATATTGTTGGTTTTGCTTAACTTGGTTTGTTTAATTGTTGTCTTCTTGTGTTGTGTTTATTAATAGTTGGATATGACCAATTTGGAAGAGTGATTTCATCACTTTGATGATCACATCCCAACTGCTGCAACATAAGGTTGAACATAAATGATAAAATATCCAATTGTACCATATTTATGACTTGCATGTAACCTAAATGACATTGATATGCATATTTTATTGGACCATTATTATATGTATGTGATACTCTGGACACCATTATTGTTTCATGGAAGAGAAAAGCGGTGGTCCATAGGTATGTAGAGTCATGCTATTTATTTAACAATAAGCCAAATTAGGTTTGTATAGTCACAAAGAGAGTAAATTGAAAAAAATAAAAAATTATAACAAATGGATTCATAGTAAATATAGTTTAGTCATCCCAGGAAACTCAATTTGGTCATCAAAATAAAGTTGACATCAATTTAATTTATGAGTTATAAAATGTGATATTAATTTAACTTTTCAATTAAATTTCCATTAACAATATTCTCATTATCTATACACAAAAAGATTATTTTGATATTAATTACTTTTTTTTTTGGTACAACGATATTACTTTCTTTAGAGGGACTATATTGATGTCAACTTTCTTTGTAAGAGAAAATTGATGTCACATATATATTTGACAAATTAAAACTAGTGTTTATTCAAAAAGTTTTTCAAACTTAAGAATAAAAAGTCGTTCAACCAATTGATGACATTTAAAGAACAATTAATAAGTAACTTCATATTGATTTTATTAACTAATTTGAGTGCTTACTTATTCCTAAATTAAAAAAAAAAAAAAAAAAAACATACGATTACCAAAAAAAAAAAAACATACAACTCTGAATTAGAAACCAATTGCAAAACGCTATACTAATTACAACATAAGAACAAATGTATAAAGGACAATGGACATGTTCTCCTCTTAAAGGCAGGCACCAATGGATAAATTACATGATCCCATTACCACAAGAGTACTTGACACACGCAGCTGTATTGTTGTCCTTGAAACAGTTCAACAAAGATATGAAAAAAAGCAAATCCAGGAATACAAGGCAAAAGCATTACGGCAAAAGCAAGTTTTCCGAACTCAAATCCGTGATTTTTTGGTCAAAAGAAGTAACTATAAGGCTCACCCTAAATAGAAATATGAAATATGAGGGGAAAATATCATGAGATTTTCATGGGAAGGAAATTTCAGGCTTTTTCATCCACAAGAAGCCTTGTGAGGTGAGCATACAAATCTTCTATAGTTTGAAATGTAAATGAAACTCTGTCCTTTTCATCCTGAAATGAACTAATTAGTTTTGAAAAGCAATTTACTGAAATTTTTAAAACAGCAGACAAGGGTCCCTAGGGATGTCCGATAAAGAAGTAGACATGAACAAAGTTTTTAGGGACAAAAGCCACTAAGCCAGGATTATAGAATGACTTGAAACCAATTGGTCCCCTCTCTTATGTCCCCATTAAAGACAATACGTATTGGCTGCTAAATCCAACACTCATTAATGCAGTCTAATTCTGAAAAGAACCTTATACCATTCATGCAAGTACGAAGGAACATAAGTACGACAGAAAATTTACCTGCAAGAATATAATTAGAGATAAACTTCAAAATGGATAATCAAAAGCTCACCTAGAACACTTTGTCAATAAGTCTCTCACTCTGGGGCCAGGAAGTAATGATGTCAGAGTGCAATGGAATTAAGGAAATCCATATATTATAGGATTTTGTGCTGCTTAAATGAAGCCACAAGTTTTTAGTTTCTCAAATATCCTTAACTGTTCAGAACATGCCACAACTAAAAGAATTTTATCTTGAAATTCTATCAAATTAAGATAGGTCTTCAACTTCAATCTTCCAATCTATCAAGCTTTGGTGAAAATTTGATAAAAATTTTCATGTTAGACTATACAAAGTTCAATTTGTATGTGCTATTTTCACATTGTACTATCCGTACTAACATTCTTGGTCAAGGCACAACGGCCTAACTCACTTGGAGTGAGATGGTACAGGAAAATTTCTTTCTTCAGTACTCTTATTATAGTCAATGAAGACTCAGTGTATTACCTATACAAATGTTAGAAAAAATAACCTACTTAACTTTATTTATTCTGTTCATTCCTTTATGGTTAATGACACATGAAACCACTTATTTCTATTGAGAAAGGAGTATGTATAATGTAATACAGGAACACTGAAGATTTACTTAAATGATACAGACGATCCTAGAAAAAAAAAACAGTTGAGTATTATTTCATGAGATTTAGAAATACAAAAACATTCCACACACTATGCAATAAAACTGATGGCAAGAGGTATTCCTGAGCAGTGCAAAGACATCACCCATCACCATGCCTTAAAATGCAAGAGGTAGGGCCCTCTGCATGTTAAAATGTGCCACAATTGATTGCTCTATGCTTGACAGGGTTACAGGAGTAGTAGGAAGAACCAGCAAAAAATTTAGGTTTACTTGTGACAGATGATTGGTAAGGGAGAACATGAGGCAGCCTAAACCAACATCAAAATGCCACTTCCCATCAAAGTGACACATAAGGGAGGCATGGTCACACTGTAACTATAAACCAACATAGGATAGCTTACATAAAATTGTTGAGCAAATAAAGATGGTTCAACTTCCAAGAGTTTCGAATGAATATTCAGATATATTTGAAGCACATTTAATTTAAGAGGTTATATTAGGTGATAATGATAGATGCTTATTAATATGCATTGGAGACTCATGTCGACTTAGACTATATGTCAATATTTCTCTGACTTTTGAGCTTCTTTCCTCTTTCATCTCAATTGGGAGTGTGTCCATACTGATATACAGTGTTGGCTACAAAGGCACTAGCCTACCACATATAAATTACATTGAACCCGTATGTTAATTTGCACAGCTCAACATCTTAAAACCCTTTCAGCAACCACAACCATTTAACTCTCTAATTGAACTTGATAAACAATCATCTACTTAAAAACTCAAGTTGGTAATTGATGGATCTTCAATATTTTTATATTATACCTATCTAACACACTCCCTTACCCAAGAATCCTATGAACTTGAAATGAGGATATTGCACAGGCATATTTTCTTTTTCTACCTTCTATTAACTTAATTCCATTGAAAAGTGGGGGATATGAGATCGAACTCGTGACTTGTAGTCATGAAAGTTCTGATACCACTGTAAAAATTATTTCACCTAAAAACTCATACCGATAAGTAATTGATCTTCGTTATTCTTACATTATATCTCTGTAACATAACTAATTATTCTCTTCACGCTAATGGCTTAGGAAAAATTAAATCCCACAAATATAAACTGTTTCCCGACATCTTTTTCTTTAGAGCAGCCAAAGTCATCATATCAAGCAGGCTGCATAATTTCTGCATATTTAAATCCAGTTGTAAATTGATGTGAATTAAAACAATCAACCTTATGTACCAAAAAAAAAAAACAATCAACCTTACTATCAAACCGAGTGAAACTCAATTATTCTGGCATATGCAAACGCTGCAGTGACACCTGGTGGATGACGCACAAGAACAACTTGTCGAATCTGAGGTTTCAATCCCGAAATAAAGAGGCTCTTGCGCATCAGAGGAGTCAGTGTAGGTATCATCCTAGCAAGTAATTCGAAGGCGGATTGGAAATCAGTGACAGACCCTGATGCTGCAATTTAGCTAATGCACCTGGAGGATCTTCAAAATCAGAAGGTCCAAAACGTTGGTGAAGTGCTTGCACAAAGGATGGCCAATCGGGGAGATGCCCAGTGGCAAATAGGGATTCAAACCAACATGAGGCAGGCATATCAAGGTTAAAGGAAATCAGATCTAGACGATCTTGTTCTAGTACCTGGTGGTAGCAAAAGTAACGCTCCACAACGAACAACCAATGCCCAGGGTGGCCAGACCCAAATCTGGGAAAATCAATGCGCATAGAACGAATCGGATTAGGAGGACGAGCATTGTTGGCTCCTGGAGTAGCACCGCCTGATTGAGGGTTTGGCAGTAGTGTGGCTACTTGAGCTTGCATAGTTTGTAGAAGCGCATGAACATCTTGGATCTGGACATTAACATTGGTGAATCGTTGATCTAGGGTTCTTTCTGTAACATCCCCATCTCGAGCCGGTTCAATTAACATACATATGATAAAACAGAAAACAGCGGAAGACTTAACTTACGAAAATACGAGTTAACTTTTTCTTTTTTCTACTTTAATTCTTACTCGGGGTAAACGAAAATCGGGCAGAGTTTCCTCTATAAATCGGACAACTGGGGATTTTCCAATCCCACTCAGAAGCATTTCCTGATAAATAGTTTATACAACATAGTAATCCAGAAGTACCAGTCATGCAAATACAATCAGATACCCATCCATGGG